ACACCGCAACTTATCAAAGATTTTTTTTAAATACACCACACCATAATGTATCAATGGCATTTCAAAGTTATTGCGTCCGAAGGTACATGCTACTTTTATATAATATGCCAGTAAAAGTTCGCTTTTTTATAGAATAAGAGTGACAAACAAGCACACAGTGCACCTGATGGTAAACGGACGCTGTGGCCCAGACACATGCATCTATCCTTGACTATGAATAAATATGTAGATGCGTTGTCACCCCTGAGGACTAGCATAGAATGTCACGTTACAAGTATAAAGGTTCCCCGGTTCTCTACACTCACCATAGGAATAATTAAAAATTTGAACAACCAACTTCAACATATTTTTAAGGATAACTCAAAAACTATTGGTCAGAACTTGATCAAATTATGTATTAATAAGCACCAGCTATCAAATAAAAAAAGAATCATCAAAATCGGTCCACGTAAAACAATGTTATGAGCTTATGAGGTAACACACATAAAAAAGACAGAGTCGAATTGAGTACCTCCTCCTTTTTAGAGTTGGTAGAAAAGTGCCATTAAACCGATATTTTACGCTGGTATTCTGTGAGAGTGTGGTTTTCCTTAGGTATAAAACTGAAACGACAAACGAACTTAGAGCCCCCCTGATGTTAAGTGGCTACTGCAGCCTATAAACATCTTTATACAAAATTCAGATAATTACTGTAATTATACAGGCTCATTATACCTTTCAAACAGGAACGAAGTAGTTCAGGCAATGCTATTTGGCAGGAAAAATTGGTTAGAGGGTGGTACGAGCCAAATCGTAAACAAATGACAAATTAATAAAATACATACACACTATTATTGGCAGAGTTCCATTTTCAAAATTTGAACCTATTTTTTTACTATATCGTTTACAAGTGGCCAGTTCTAAAAACTTTCAGTGTCGCCCTCGTACTTAACCAGACGGACTCCTAGGTAGAAAAGTAGAAATGAGTTTTAACACCTAATTGCATTTATATATAGATATTTGCTGCCCATCTGTGTCAATTCCCTGTCGCCTCTTACAGCACTCACGGGACGATATGCGGCAGTGAATTCTTTTACGCCGCCACTACAGGTCCAGCTGCAGGCTTTTGCAGGTTAGTGAAGAAAATTATTTTGTAATAATTTAATTACAAAATAAAAAAGTCTATTTTATCTTCTTCTTTATCAGCCGCTAAGTGTCTACTGCCGCACTTCGAACATGAGCATATATAAGGAAGAATTTATCACTGTTATAGCCCGAAAAATTACTTATTATTTAAACATTTTCTGCCGACTTCCAAAAAGGAGACGGTACTCAATTCGACTGTATGTTTTTTTTATGTGTGTTACCTCCTAACTTTTTACTGGGTGAACCGATTTCGATGATTCTATTTTTATTTGAAAGCTGGTACTTCTTGTGTGGTTTTATGTTTTTTTCATCAATTTGATCAAGATCAGACTAATAGTTTTTGAGTTATTCTTAATAACTTATATTGAAGTCGGCTGTACAAAATTTTAAATTTTAAATTATGATCAATTAAACTACTAAAGCCACCACGTGTGATCGTTACAAAGTTCTCGAGTGATAGCACAGAATAAATAATAGATGTGATAGTAAAAAAACTAAAGTTACAACCTTTATAGGTCCTACTATTGGGCAAAGGCCCTTATTTAGGCCTTATTTCTGAAAAGGTTACGGACCAATCCTGCGCTGCTTTAGCGTGTTGGCGGACTTCACATATCCTCGTAATATTTTATTTTTTAGGCATGTAGGTTTCCTCACGATGTTTTCCTTCATCGCCCAGCATGTGGTAAGTCGACACTGAAAAGCACAATTATCAATTTCATTGGTGCCAGTGGGAATTGAAGCCGGATCGCTCTCGTACTGTGATATTTTATAGCGCTTCCTTAACAAGTTATAGATTAATTAAAACCCTTTGTAACAAATTTTTCATACTTGACGGCGAAGGTATTACGCTAGTAGTAGGTTCACTATTAGAGTAAACACAAAAACTTTCCTACACATTAAAATATAGTATGTACTACTATATTTTAATACTAGCTGTTCCCCGCGACTTCGCCCGCGTGTTAGGGTTTTTATGTTTTTAGCGCGGAACTCTAATTGTTTTCCTAAAATAAAAATAGCCTAAGTTACTCCTTATGAAATCAGCTATCTACCAGTGAAAGTCCCGTCAAAATCGGTTCAGCCGTTTCGGAGATTAGCCGGAACAAACAGACAGACAGACAAAAATTTTAAAAATTGTATTTTATTTATAAGTGCAGTATTTACTTTCATATGCATTTAGTAAAAACTGTAATTTTGACATTACAAACAGACACTTCAATTTTATTTCTTTGTATAGATGTAGGAAAGTTTTTTTGAGTTTCGTTCGAGATTAGACCGGAAAGGCGTAAAACTCGGTCGCCATCTCGTTAGTCGTAGGTATGTTGCATTTATCATATTTTAATTAAGTAATATGTTAAAAGAAATCTTATTACTTATCCTCGTGTCTTAATATGCTCGTTGATAGATTATTTATATAAGAATTACAACTTGGTACATGTTTGTAATTTACGGTCACAACATGTAAAACCTGCAAAATCCGGAAATTAACACAGTACTAGATATTAGCTCAGGCTAGGATTGGGAGATTGTAACCTAGGGCTAGAAGCTAGAATCACAAATAGACAGGTACGCTGTCCGCTAGGTAACGCGATCTTAAAACATAAATAGATAAAACACGACCTTTGATGATAATACGTGTTTGTGTTTGTGGTAGTATTATATATTAGTCTATGTTTGTGGTGAGAATATAGTCGCAAAATGACAAGTGACTAACTTATCGTCAGTCATATAAATTGTTTAGATTGATAACAATTGACAGTTTTGGACATAACAGCGGAGGGTTTGCACGCCATCATTGTAAGTGTTTTGTTTTTTTTTATTAATAACAAAATGTGTAATCGTATGATGTGTATTTATATTATGCTTTGTAAAGATAACAAAAAGAACATATTATTATACTTATTAAGTGGCGAAGCTTGCGAAGTCACTTATTGATTTCACGATGTCTGTCCGTCTGTCCCACGATTATCTCGAGAACGGTTTTGAATTTTCAAATTCTGTTTTCAGCAATCGATTACTGATCACCCAGGCATCTGAACCTCTTATTTTGAAACTGATTGCTCAACGGCAATCGTTAGAAACCGCTACAAAGCTGATTGCTTCGCCACTTTGCTATGCTGTTAGCTTGCTAGGTTTATTAAATTGTGATATCAGTTATTGGTATTGAGTGTTTAAGATAAATTTTAATATGTACTTTAGCTGAGTTTTATGACTTGATATTATGTTTGCAATGAGTTTAGTGTGTTGTTTTTTTATTAATAACATATAATCGTATGAGTTTTTTTGTTGGTTATTAAAATGTAATTCATGTATTAACTTAAATTAAAAAACATTACAAGAAATTATTTAAGTGAAGAGAATTCTCTGAAATTTCAACTAGTTTTTAAAAAGTTTACGAAATATCCACGCATTGCACACCTTCACCGACACCAGTCTGTGAAACTTGGGCTAAAAGTTTATGAATGGATTTCAGCCGGACGTCAGAAATGCTTTAAATAAGAAGCTGTCTTGTATATCATCATCATCATTACAGCCCTTCACAAGTCCACTGGTGAACATAGGCCTCTCCCAAGGTATGCCACAAAACACGGTCTTGAGTCACCTGCATCCATCGACTTCCTGCATGTCTTACCAGGTTGTCACTCCTTCTAGTGGGGGAACGCCCTACACTTCGTCCGCCGGTACGAGGCCGCCACTCGAGAACCTTTTTTCCCTATCGGTTGTCGATTCTTCGAACTATATGGCCGGTCCATTGCCACTTTAGCTTACTAATTCTTTGGGCTATGTCAGTCACTCTGGTACTATTGCGGATATCCTCGTCCTAAGTTTATCACATGTACCGCAATTTCCCGAACGCTGCCCAGCCGAGATGTGTTTTATGGAATAAGGGTGACAAACGAGCACACAGTCCACCTGATGCTAAGTGGTTGCTGTGGTCCATAAATATTTAAATTTATCCTCACTTATGAATGCATGCAGACCCCTGAGGACTGCGATGGAATGTATCCTTTCCAGTAAAAAGGGTCTCCGGTTCTCTACACTCACCATACGAAACACAGCAGCATTAAGTTGCTATTTTACGTTGGTATTCTGAGAGACCGTGGTCCTAGCCCAGTCGAGCCGACCCCTTCGTGATGCAACCACAATATAGCTGCAGCATGACTCTACCACATAATTTTTTTTCAACAAGTAACAAAATGTTGTAATAAGGCAAAAACATTGACCTTACCACCTCACTAACTTATTATAATGTTAAATATTTAAGAAAAGGGCAAAATTTTAAGTTTGGTAATCAAATATACATTTCGATTATGTTAATAGTAGTTTTTATACGTGGTAGAGCCATATATATATATATATATATATATATATATATATATATATATATATATATATATATATATATACATATATATATATACACATCCAACCATAGCACGAATGGGTCGGCTCGACTGGGGAAGGACCACACTCTCACAGAATAGCAGCTTAACACTGCTGTGTTTCGTATGGTGAGTATAGAGAACCGGAGACCCTTTTTTACTGGATACGAGGCATTCCATCTTATTCTTCACGGGTGACAACGCATCTGCATTTTGATTCGCAAACGAGGATAGATGTAGATGCCTATGGGCCACAGCAACCACTTACCATTAGGTGGACTGTGTGCTCGTTTGTCACCCTATCCTATAAAAAAAATAGTGCTACAGAAAAGTTAATGTTCTACCCTCCGTTCTGGTTTGCAATGTACGGCAGGCGTAGTCATCTACCTCAAGGGCAACAACAATCAATCACTTCACTCAGTGAATGCTGTAAGCAAATGTGGTCTCTTCTTCATAGTAATAATGATTTTTTTACGTCAGTTCTAGAATTAAACAATGGTTCATCTAATCGAGCAGGACTTCGGCACGTTTAATAAGGACCCAGTGAAGAAGTTTACGTGGCAAACTAAAAGTGGCGTTAAAGTCTCTGTAATTTCCTATGGTGCTATTATACAATCAATTTTGGTGAGTAATGGTTATGTCCCACCCTGAGAGTGGTATATCAGAGGTATTTCTCGAATCAGTGGTAAATAACGACCGCGAGAAGTATTAGGTTATAAACCATATTGATTAAAACAAGAATAGAACACGTACATTCATCACTAAGCCCAGTGATGAATGTATGTGCTTGTTAAACCACCAATTATGTCTAAAAACGTATTATTGGTCACTACTTTTTTGGATGTCCTGTATTTGCCAGGAAATCCTTAAGGCTATCTACACCACGGGGATAACGTTATGCCGGTTTTCTACTAGCTAAAAGATATTTATCAGGATCAAGGGAACGAAATCTTAGGTACAATTGCTTTTCCGGTATTGGTCGCCGCAACTGAATAACTTCACTGGTTTCGTAGTGGGAAGGCGAAATGCTCAAGCTCTTGAATATCCACCGTAGTTAATAGGATTGAATCCAGGACTGTGGGTTTGTGTGTAATTAATTGTTTGGTTTTCAAAGTACCTAGTGAGGCTTAACGAAAAATATGCGTTTAAGGTTTAAGCCATTGTAGAGATTCATCTCAGGTTCTTGTGATTATTGACATTTTCCATAGAAGGACGAAATCATAACTTAACTCAACTATGTACTCCTCCTTTTGGTATATTTGAAAGGATTATATTTTTAGCAGTTGGAGTTCATAAAATATCTTATAGTCGACTCTAAATTTCTTTTTTAATTCTTAAATTCCCTTGTGACTGGAGGAACGTATGTATGTGTAGCTTCCAACTTCTATCCACCTGTATTGCATCATTCTTTGGGAATTATTTATTTTCGACGTTGTAGTCTGCTCGACCGGGACACGAACACGCTGTCATAGAATACCAGCATAAAAAACAACAAGCGTAATGCTGGTCTTTAATATGATGGTCTACAACAACCAGAGACCCGTTTTGCTAATTATTTTATTTATTTTTTAAGTTATCACAATAGTAGTAGTGATGAAATTATTATAAAACGACAACACTACTATATTTTTCTTCTTTAGATTGACAAACTATTTTAAAGCCCACCTGTTAGTAAATAGCTATTGCAGCCAAGGGGTACTCGAAAACAACTAAAAAAATATATATAGCACTATGATGGAACGCCTCATGGCCAATTATTTAACAGGCTCTCTATACGCTTTGTGCTAATTAGGTAGAAATCTACCTCAGTAAGTTCACCCAATAACACTTCATTATATAATTTATATTATTTTATAATTTATATATTGTAAGATAATAAAAATTGAGAGCGATAATGCACTGTAATTTTCTTTAGTTGATAAGAAATGGGTCCCAGAAAGAACAGCACTTATAAGTAAAAATAATTTAAATATAATCGAAATTCGAACAATCTTACAAGGATTCCTTTAAATAAAAATATTTTTAGCATTCAACAGGCAGCTTCCATCGAGTATTGTTTTCGACTTTACTTTTATTCAATAAAAAAAAACATGTACACAAGTATCACAAAAATCAAGAAAAAAGTTTCGAGTTTTAGCGCGACTAACGGACAGAAATTGGTTTTTATATATAGAGATTTTTAGGTATTTCTGGTGATGAGATATTCCATTTTAGCACTCCGGGGTAATTAAGCTTTTTGATCCTCTATGACGATAGTGTATATGATGACATATGGACTACAGTCGACTTACCGTCAGATAGTCTTGTGTGCTCTTTTGTCATCCTTACTTGCATAAAAAGACTTGCAGTGTCCTCGCTCAGGAATTACTCTACAAACTAAGGTCCTCATTCTCTAGGTTCCCGATAAATCTGGACAACTGAAAGATGTAGTGCTTGGCTTCGACGATCTTCAAGGCTACGTAGACAGGAATACGCCTTATTTGGGAGCGATGGTGGGGAGATGCGCCAATCGTATTAGGGGCGCTAGTTTCCAAATAGATGGCGTTATGTACCAACTGGCGAAGAACCTTTCGGGTCACGACCATTTGCACGGAGGGATCGTTGGTTTTGACAAGGTGAGTATTCCATTTCATTAAATGAAACTAAATTTTACGGATTATATCGCGTTTAATTTAAACTTTTTTAATTCCCGACGTTTGATTTCGCGATCTTGAACATGTGAACATGTTCAAGATCGTGCCCGCCATTACATTAGATTTGATAGACCACAAATCCTCGCAAAAGAACATAGATTCCTACCAAAGATGATTCTCGAGGCTATTGAAATTAAAAAAAAAACATCCTAATTTCAATAGAGAAGATGGATGGGTGCTGCCATCTGCTTGGGATCCTATAATTAATAAAATTAAATCCAAAGCCAAGCATACCACTGCAAGATTTCAAGATACTGTAAGCTCATTATGCGTAGATGGAACCAAAAATTAATATTAAAAAACTGAAGGTAGCCGGGCTAACTATGACATCGGGACGTCAAACACCTCAGTCCCCCCCGTAACCACGAAATGTCGGGAATTAAATTTTTTTAAATTAAACGCGATATAATCCTTAAAAATTAGTTTCATTTAATGTGTAGTCTTCGCGTAAATATAAGAAACATTATTCCATTTCATTTGAATTTCACTCATGGTTACATGAATTTATCATTGATTTTTAGGACGAATATCATATTTTTTACGTGCCATACACATCTGCATGTATACAATTGCACATAGTAATAAGATTCTTATTTTTTATTTAAATAAGTGTGAGCCGTACAAAGATATTTTAGACCTATAAAACATCTTTGGAGCCGTAGTTGTGAAGTATCGATACGCGGCGCGAGTAGGTATTTTAAAAAAATGCTATCTGTTTCATAACGCACGCTCCGTATCGCCGTATCGTGCGATAGAGTTGCAAGCTTGCGAGTCTTGGAAGCAATTGTCTACATTTCCTTTTTGAAATATTGTTTCGGGTGATAAAGTTTTCACCCAAACTTTTACGAAATGAGACTATTTTGGTCTCATTAGATTCAGTACATTTTGATGTTTTACCTTTTAGTAATTCAGTTTAGTTTAATTAAAAAAAAAGAAGTTTTTAAGTCAAAAATATAGATATTTAGACGCTAATAACTTATACCTTACGCAATATTTCTTTAAAATAAAAACGTACAGACCTAGTTTTTCATTATGTCTACATAATTTCCAAAAATTATGTAAATTCGACTATGTTTGCGGGGAGAAAACGTTATCGCTTTTTGTTTGAAAATTTACAGCTTCACAATTCTCTCAATATAAAACTAAAGTAAGCAACTACCTATAGGCTCCGAAGTCTTAGAAAGAAGTTTCTTACGTGTTACAGGAATTAGAAAAAAGGGAGAGGGGGTTCGATACTCATATTGCCAATAGCAAATTTTGCAGCCCTAATATATATTATATACCCACCATAATCAATTTTTGACTGATTTACAATTTAAGTGCTGGCTTTTACCAGAGCTCAGCTGTGAGGTTATTCATTTTAAAGAAATTAGCATGTCTTAACTAGAATTCTTTCTTTCTCCAAAAGCCGTCTAGAATGAGGCTTGAATGCCCAGTTGTAGGGATAATGTCAGTAGTTTGAATTATTTCCCATGTATATGAAACACACCGAAGCCTAAATCACGCTGTCAAAGTTCCGAAGTACTGCGGTAAATGAATATATAAAACGAACAACTCCGTACTACCGTACGGAACTTTGGCCGCTCCCCGGGTTGATCACCTTGCCCTTTTATCACCAAAGCCACAACTAGTGTATACGATAATAATTAGCTTTTTATTATGTATTTACATGACCAATATTAAGTCGATGGTGCTTGAATGTGTTCTTAAGATTGCCGCGATAGCGCAGTTGTTAAGCGTTTGTCTGTACATACCAGTATTATAGCCTACACAGAGAAAGTATGTATAGCGTGTGGCGTAAAGAGTGGATATACATTTGCCTACGGGTGGGAGACATTATCACTGTTTAGAAAATAAAAAAATGTACCCAGTAAAAGTCTGACCGTTTTCAAGTTATGAAACATTTACGAAATTATCTAAATTTTTTAATCTTGTCCATTCTTTTCGGTGCCAAGATCACAAATTAAGGAATTTTCTCAACCTAATTTTTTTGTAGCACTATTTAATAGCTATTCTATCAAATACTAAATTCCATTTTGGTGCCACATTTACAGTTTCTTTTTAAAATATTTTTCAAATGAAGGATTTTTTGCAAAACTTTCCCAAAAGTTTGACCTCATGTAGTGTAAAAAAAAAAACGGTAACCTGAGTGATCAACTAATTAATAACTTGCCTGTCTCATTTAGATTAAAAATAGTATAGCACTTGGTATTTCTAGCTTCAAATGCAAAGTATATTGCAGTTAAGGTGAGCAAGGGTCATTTTTTCAAATTACAAGTAAAATTAAAGTTCTGTTGGGGAATTGGAATACCGCAAACAAAATTAATGTTATTACAAAGGAATTTAATAAAACAAGAATATAAAATAAATTAAGACATTTAAAATACATTTATTGGTTAGAAATTTCTTACAACAAGTGCTCCAAACGGCTACCATTAGCTCTTATGCACGCTCTTCGTCTTTTCCAATAAAAGAGCGCTTTATTTTGTGCGCATGACCAGATTCGGCCGCTCTTTGTAGACGCTCTCGCAGCTGCTCAACTGAGGTCATGGACTCTTTGCCCACCTTAACAGCAATATTCTTTGCATTGAAAGCTGGAAACACCGAGTGCTATACCATTTCTAAATCTCATTGAAGCAGGCAAGTTATTAATTAGTTGGTCACTCGGGTGACCATACATTTTTTTACACTACAAGAGGTGGTTTATTTTTTGAAAAATATATTTAAAAAAAAACCTAGACGTGGCACCAAAATGGCAGTCAGTATTTGATAGCATAGCTATTAAAGAATGCTACAAAAACAGGTCTAGAAAATTCATTTATTTGTGATCTTGGCACCGAAAAGATTGGACAAGAGTAAACAATTTAGAAAATTTCGTAAATGTCCCATAACTCGAAAACCATGACACTTTTACTGGATACGTTTTTTTTGTTTTCTAAATACTCGTAGTTATAATGTCCTCCACCCGTAGGTAAAGGTATAGCCACTCTTTACGCCACACATGTATGGCTCACAAATAATTATTGTTCCAAATCTGTGATGTAAAATTAATGTATGAAAATGTTCTTCACCACACAGGACATTAGGATAATCGTGAGGGATATCATGGAGATATTTTCGTTCAACGTTATCCTAATGGTGTATTCACCAATTTTTAAAGAATACTAGTGTGCTGTGCTATGTGGATGTGGTTTAAAATAGAATTCGAATGGTGTATTCGAACCCATGATCCTTTAGTTTTGTATTCCGTACCTAACCTACCTTTTTGACTTCTGACTTTGACCTTGACTTTTTGACTACCTACCCTAACTTTTTGACTTCTGTCGCTTTCATTCGCACTGATCCTGTGCAAATGACAATCGAATAAATTACAGGTTAACTGGAAATCAATGGTGGACGGATCAAAGGTCATCTTCAGTTATCTGTCCAAAGATGGAGAGGAGGGATATCCCGGGGATTTGCTTACTAACATCACTTACGAGGTGACAGACGCGGGCGTTATACAAATTGAGTTCACCGCTACCACTACACAAAAGACCGTAGTTAATCTCACTAACCACTCGTACTTTAATCTCGCCGGTCATGAGATGGGGGCAGACGAGATATATAATCATGTGATATCAATAAACGCGGACAAGTAAGTTGCTTAATTACAAGTAAGAGTGTCATTAAGCATACAGTTTACGTGGTAGAGTCATGCTTCAGCTATATTAGTAGTATAGTCGTAGCACGAATGGGTCGGCTCGACCGAGGAAGGACCACGCTCTCACAGAATACCAGCGCAAAATAGCAGCTTAACACTGCTGTGTTTCGTATGGTGAGTGTAGAGAACCGGAGAGACCCCTTTTACTGGAAAAGAGGCATTCTTAGTCCTCACGGGTGACAACGCATCTACATTTTGATTCTTTATTGAGGATAGATGTGGATGTCAATGGGTCACACTAATCACTTACCATTAGGTGGACTGTGTGCTCGTTTGTCACCCTACCCTATAAAAAAAGTCAGCAATGATAAGCAGATCCTGTGATCCATACACACCTACATCTATTCTCGATTAAGAATCTTGGTTTATACGTGATAAAGCGTTACCGTGCAGTGGCTGTGTAAGAATATCCATTACCCCACACTATCCCGTGGGTGTTGTAAGAGGCGAGAGAGGGAAACATATCAGGAGATGAGCAGCAGCGTCTTCCTAATAACGACTAAAAAATAAAAAACTGCGGCTGCCAACCCGCATGTCAATCGTGGCAACTATGGCAAATATCCTATTGTGAAGCAATCTATGGGTTGTAACGTAACGGTGCTATAACGTATTAAATATGGCTGCAGTCCGAATTGGTTTACAAGAAGGAGCACGCTCATAGTATGATGTAGCAAAATGCTGCATGTGTTTCCTAAGGTTATTTTCGAAAACCGAAAGCCCTTTTTATCCCTGAGGTCTAACATGAAATATCTTAGTATTTATCTCAGGTCAATTATACTGGATCTCTATATCCTTCAGAACGGAAAACAGCAATTCAAGCGCTGCTATTTAGCTGTAGATAAAGTAACAGGGTGGTAACTACCCAGACAGTGTCCTACGAAAAATGTTTTACGTGGTAGAGCCATGCTGCAGTAGTAGTAGTAGTGTAGTAGGTAAAGTTGTAGCACGAATGGGTCGGCTCGACCGGGGAAGGACCACGCTCTCACAGAATATCAGCGTAAAATAGCAGCTTAACGCTGCTGTGTTTCGTATGGTGAGTGTAGAGAACCGGAGACCCTTTTTACTGGAAATGAGGTATTCCATCTTAGTCCTCACGGGTGACAATGCATCTGCATTTTGATGTCTATGGGCCGCAGCAACCACTTACCATCAGGTGGACTGTGTGCTCGTTTGTCACCCTTATCCTATAAAAAAGAGGGGTTTTATGTGTATCTGTGTATCTGTGTGTTTGTGTATCTGTGTGTCTGTGTATCTGTGTGTTTATGTATCTGTGTATCAGATCAGTGTCTGTCTGTGGCATCATAGCTCCTAAATGGATGAACCGTTTTTCCTTTGAAAGGTATCTTAATCGAGAGTGTTCTTACCAATGTTTTAAGAAAATCTATTTAGCCGTTTGAAGATCATGAGTTTTTTTTGTTTCGGGAGTTTTGAAATGTTTTAATTCAAGTTATTATTTGAGAATAGATGTACGTGTCTATAGGCCACAACATCCACTAACCATCAGGTGGACTGTCTGCTCGTTTGTTACCCTTGTTCTATAAAAAAAAAAACTGAGTCTCAGTTGGCTCAAACATAATCTATGTTTTAGAATTACAGAGACTACGCCTCAGTCTATACCAACCGGGGGGTTCGTGAAGGTTGGAGGTACTCCATTTGATCTACGTATACCCATACGACTTGGTGATGCCATGAAGCAAGGACAAAATTTGTTTGACGACAATTTCTGCATTAACACCTACGGAAACAAGGTCAGTTGATGTTTTTTTTTTGTTCATTTTGATCTGTCGCTTATTTGCAAATTTGTCATCATAAAATCATAGTTAATTAACACAAGTTATAATTTAACTTTTATAAAATTAACTTTTTATAAAAACGTAAAAATCAACTTCAAATAACTAAAAAGAAAAAACATGTGTGTGTCGTGGAACACTCGGTGGAAACGAAGTTCCATTCGTAGTACTTATATTATAATTGATAAACCTATTATATTATTGATTAATGATTAACAAATACAAATAAATGAATTACCTAGCGTCTATTAAAATGAAGCCTCATTTAAAGTAAAATAATATTTCTTTCATGGCAAGACAAGAAAAAGTCCGAGTGAGATGGATATTATTCCATCTCGTTACCTTATAGGCGCCAAGGCCGTCTACACTACGTCAGAAGGGGTTGTGAGGGAAAACACTTTTACACTTTATTCTCCTTTACACTTTTATCTTACACTTTTTTTCGCCTAGCCCCCATTCGCCAAATTCGCACCGTAGAATAAGGAACTTCGTTCCAATAAAATAATTTCACATTCTGAAATCGTTGCTGCAGAACGTGTAATTACTTTATTCTTTATAGTTATTTGAAGTCGATTTTTACTTGACAAACCACAATCCCATCTGGTGGTAAATCGCACTGTCTTAGCGTAGCAAAAGCCTATTCACTCTTGCCTTGAAGAAGCCCAGATTGTATTCGGACGGAAAGATAGATGCTGGCAAATCATTCCACCCCTTTACTGTACGCATTACAAAAGACGAAGCAAACCTTTTGGTTCTAATGCGTGGGATATCGACTACAAAGGGGTGAAGACCCGCCGATCGCCTGGTTGTCCGATATCGTGTAATATACATACAAAAAAAAAATTCAGGGACTTTACTGGATACGAGGCATTCCATCTCAGTTCCCAGGTGCGACAACGCATCTGCATTTTGATTCTTAATCGAGGTTAGATGTAGATTTCTATGGGCCACAGCATCCACTTACCATTAAGTGGACTGAGTATTTAAAGTCACCCTTATTCTATAAAAATAAATTCGACAACATTTGGTTAAATTTTTTAATGAAAACTCTTTTACAGGAGCTTAATTTCGTATCGCGTGTCAACCACCCACAATCAGGGCGGTATTTAGAAGTCCACAGTGACCAGCCTGGTGTTCAGCTGTACACTTCAAACTTCCTTCCCTCTCCTGATGAGCCAGCGTTAATCGGTAAATCTGGAGTAGGATATAGACGCCATGCTGCATTCTGTTTGGAAACCCAGAACTATCCAGATGCGATCCACCATCCCAATTTCCCGAGCCCTATTTTGAAGCCTGGAGAAATTTATAGACATCGCGTAACATACAGTTTTGGCGTAGTCAAACATTTAAATGAACCTGAAGTTATCGGATACTAAATATTTTTGATGTAACGGTTTTGTTATAAATTAGATATTTTTGTATCATAATATATCTATGAAGAGGTTTTCTTCTAAAATTTATGTATTTTTCTATTTAAATAAACTTTAAAAATCACATGATATTTAATTTTTCAACTTTTGTTTATATAATTATTCGTTTCAGAAAGACAAAATTTAAGTTATTATAGCCAGTGTTGCGTATTACTTTTACAAAAATTCTTTGAATTCATTAACTGCGATAAATTAATTGCCATCAAATAATTAATTGCACATTGGAATTTACTCATGGGGAAATTACTCACGCGTTAAATTTAAGCTGTAAATTCTCTTCTTTTTGATGGAATAATGTAAAAGCAAGTGGATCTATTCTCGATAAAGAATAAAAATGCGTTCAACGCATTTTTATTCTTTATCCGCAGGACCGCAGTCCCGCGGCACTCTTTTACGATACCCACGTGACGAAATGGTGTCATGGCGGTTTTCTTACGCCGTACTACAGTTACATTCATTGCTGAACATAGATCCCTTATAGGTTGCCTCATATTAGGGATATTTTCCATAGTTGCCATGATTGGTAGACTGAGACAAAGATAGTTATTAAGAAGACGCTACTGCTGTTTACTTATTTGTTTCCCTCTGTCGCCCACGACACAATATAGGGTAGTGGTTATATTTTTACACCGCCATTACACGTTCGGGGATTGTTCAAGGTCAGACACCACTACCCAATCCAAACGCAATGACATTTTTTTTATTTAAAAAGTTATCAATTTTTTTATTTTATATTTATTGTATCAGGTAAATTAATTCGTAACGAAGGAACATGTAACAATTATCGTTATAATTAATTATGCAAATTAATGTTTTAATATAACAACATACAAAAGTTAAAAATGCCTTTACATTTTTAACTTTTGAGATAATGATTGACAGCAGTTTGAATATATAATTTAAAATTAAAAATTTTGTACAACCGACTTCAATATAAATTATTAAGAATAACTCAAAAACTATTGGTCATACCTTGATCAAATTTATATGGGACACATGAGAAACACGAGCTTTCAAATAAAAAAACCATCATCGAAATCGGTTCACCCAGAAAAAAGTTATGGGGCAACACATATAAAAAAAAAAACAAAAAAGCGAACATACAGTCGAATTGAGTACCGTCTCCTTTTTGAAGTCGGTAGAAAATGCGAAGGGATGCTGATTCTATTCGGCTTTATAAATTCAGGTCTCAAGTCTCTCTTAAAATTGATTGGACCTGACACGTTATTTTTTGTTTCGTTCTAAAGCGATCTTCATGCAGTAGATTAATGACCGAACCACCCGATGATTCGACAAAATAGTGATTGACGATCAACTGCTATTCAGTGATGTCTCAGTGATTTTGAGGGTGAAAACTGGTATCGATTACCAAATGAGAAGCACTCTGAACCTTAATGTTAACCTTTACAACTTCAACTCCAACGCTCCGTCCCCCTCTTGCTTCTAATCCACTGCCTCAAAAACTTTCAGCTCGAATTACAAAATCGTTTTCAGTGCCTAGAAAACTGCAACACAGTGCAATATAACTGCAAAGCTCATGTAAATTGTCCAGGGTGGTTAGGGATAAGTTTCACAATACCCGTCTCAGAAGAACCCAATTATACTCTCCGATCTGACTCATAATCTCATGGCTGATAAACAGGAAATTATACAGCAGTTTAACTGATATGAAAGCGTACAGGCAACTGATCACATACTCTGATCTCCAAATTCAAGCGGCGAGATTCAATTTAGCTTGTATTGAGAAGCGAAGCTTATTTCCTTTATTGTAAATGAAAGTCATTCGAAAAATATTAAGTCGTTATTGAATCTGTTCACTAAGTTTGTCATGCGTATGTGGACTATAAGAAAGCCTTTGATTTCGTCGAAATTTGGGCGGTACTACAGTCCCTTCAGCGGTACCAAGTGACTGTTAGTATATCGAACGGCTGAAGTGTTAAAAAAGAGCTAAAAAAAGTTTTAAGTTTTAAAACGAGCCTACTCTTTTTTAAAAGGCTGGTAAACCATTTACAATTCCCCTGATTTTGCTATTGTTCATGGGCGGCGGTAGTCACTTACAATCAGGTGAACTGCATACTCGTTTGTCCCTTTTATATAAAAAAGTGTAAAGTACAAAGTAACTAGAATCAGAGTACGAAACCTTTCCAACTGCCAGTGGAGGATTTACACATTTGCCGCCAGAAGGCTATTCTAATTTTGCCGCCCCTACCGATTTTCTACAATTCGATGCCCTAGTTCACAATCATATTAATTACAATTTTTTGTTAATGAAATTGTAACTTCATGATTTGTGCATTATCGTTGTAATTACACCAACCTTTTCTCGTCATTAATATAATTATTGTAAACTAGTAAATCGATGTGTCAGTTCCCCGATTATTTTTACAACTCAACGATTAAGTTAAGATTGCACAAGGAATAGCTTCTGGCTATATTTCTGAGCTAATAAAAGCTCAATCATGTACTTCTAATGGTGGCTCTTCACGTTGGCCTACACACTGGCGAATGTGTTGGCCTACAACGATGGCCATCGTGTAGTGCGGGTGTTTAAGCTACGTTGGTATGTATTGGAACGATGGCCCACAAGTTGGCGCGAGATCCGTGTGGTGTCGGTTTCTTGCAAAAGATCAAAGGGTTGTGGCAGAGTATTGGCCGTCGCGTCCACACGTTGGGCGCACGTTCAGTTTGCTAAGAGCTCCCAGAGTGATTGCACGCACCTGATTTAAATTTTATATGCACGCATCGTAACTAGTGTCTACATAACGGCTGTAACAATGACCAATGAAAAAACTTTTCCCTTTATAGAGCCCTACCAAGCCGAAAATTGTTTGTAAAACACTAGTCTTTTTAAAAAAAAATGTTACACATTCGCCACTATGTTGGCCAACGTGAAGAGTCGCCATAATAAGGCTGGGTAAGGTATGCCTTAATACTACTTAAACGTTAAACGTTATTAAATATTTTTATTGCGGTTACTTACAGTGTAAAAATAATATATTCAATACAAGTAGAAAGTTTTAAAATTCCTTTTTGCGTAATTTTCTATTCGCAAAATAATCATCAATCGTCGGGCAAAATCTTGTTCACTAATTTTGCGTACTGGCTCTATGCACGAAATAGCTAAGGTGTTTAGCTTTTCTTGACTTTAGGTCTACTTTAGGTAATTCCACGTCTAAGCGCATTTTGCGTGTGGACAGGAATGATGTAATTATTCGAGCCATGAAATCTCCCCAAAGAAGTTCAACAGTCCTTTGATGTTGCAAGTAACTTCGGGGAGTGATCCCGGCATGCCGAGATGTTGAGTTTAGGTAGATCTTAGATAATTTTTCAGCCATTTTAAATAAGAAAAGCGAGAAGCTTTTCTTACTTAAAATTAAATACCCGAAAAATTTGTTACTTACTTACTTACTTACTTATCTTCACGCACAATCCCTGACGGGGTAGCCAGAGAGAACAGATCGCCAAGTGTCACGATCCTTACATACCTCTTTCGCTTCTTTCAGATTCATTATCTTCTTCATACATGCACGTCTAGGTATCCGAGTACTCTTGACCCTACCCTCTTCGAGCAATTTGCTCACATGGTCTTCGAAAGTTAGTCTCGGTCTACCTCGACACCTTTTAATATTAACTTTCGCGCTATATATTTTCTTCACCATTCGGTCTTCACTCATTCGCTCAACGTGCCCAAACCACCGAAGCACGCCCTTATCAATTTTTGTGATAAGGTCATCTTTCAAACCTGCCATATTGCGAATCTCTTCGTTTCGCTTTCGGTCGGCCATGGTAACGCCGCACATTTTACGAAGAGATCGCATCTCCACTGCATTCAACTTGCTTTTATGCTTCTTCTGGCATACCCAGGTTTCGCTGCCATATAACAAAGTCGGTACCAAATTTGTCACTGGTGTACATAAATTCATGTGGACTGCTATATCCAAGTTTAGATAAACATTTTGAAAATTGTGGTTCCGCAAGAACGAAGATAAAATTTTCAATGATCCAGAATCTGGTTTCACCAAAATTCTTGCAGAAGAAAGGTCGCATTGAAAATGTATGAATTCTTGAACTAAGTCAGTCTCTAAATCATTAGGATACATTTCTTCCAAGAAAAGAGCTTTTTCTGTAAGGGTTGAACTTGATGATGTTGTTGATTTTGGTCCGAAATGAAAAGTTTTTTTGAACCAACACCTACCGTTTTTCTAATACACATACGAGTCTATTAAGACGAGACGAGAAATGTATTAGCCCTGAAAGTATCACTCGAAGTCAATCTCATTTCTTTATCAGCTGTCTCATCATATATTTTTTCCTTTCCGGTTGTATTTTCCCCCATATCTTTTGCATACTGCTTTGACACGTTTAATTCGATCACTTTTTCTTGGAAATACTTAAAAATTTCTCGTTCAACTACAAAAAACTGAAGAAGCGACAAGATTCTGTGCAAAATTCAGCAGCCACAGTTGCCACTAAATTTTAAGAGAGGACAGAGCAAGAAACGGAAAAAGCATAAGGTGGATGGCTTTGAATTTTTGCCATTGTACACACACCAGACATGTTTGCGGCATTAGCATACCTACTGCGGCAAGAACCCTCTTCAGAACGTTTTTCCAATAAGTAACTTCCCAAAAAATTGTGCGAGAGAAATATTAGTACGTATTAGAAATCGCACCAGGATTCGACTGAGGCAGCTTTTCTTTTCTGCCGACTTCCAAAAAGGAGACGGTACTCAATTAGACGCGTATGTTTTTTTTTATGTGTGTTACCTCATAACTTTTTACTGGGTGGACCGATTTCGATGGTTCTTTTTTTATATAAAAGCTGATACTTCTCGTGTAGTCCCATATGAATTTGATCAAGGTAAGACCAATAGTTTTTGAGTTATTCTTAATAACTTATATTGAAGTCGGCTGTACAAAATTTTAAATTTTAAATTATGGTTTTGA